CACACCACTCAGCCCGTCGCACACTTCTCGATCAAGGCTCCGAGAGGCGAGCGCGTCAGCGCCGAGGTGAAAGGCCTCGTGGATTCCCAGGTGCGCATCCAGACGCCGAGGCCAGCAGGAGCTCTGCCACGCGAGATCCCCGACGCAATTCTCGCGGAGGCGGGCGCCCAGAGGCGGGTCGGCTCGGCCCGCGCGGGCCCTTCGAGCGCAATCTCGGGCAGCTGCTCAGCCAGAAGTAAACGACGCAGCAGGTGAGGATCGAGTCGAAGTTTGGATGGTGATATTCTTCGTTCCCGGCAGGCTGGCGGCCAACCACTCTTTGGCCCAGCCGGGGGCGCGGCTGATGACCGCGGGGCCCCATGCAGCGGTGAGGCCCAGCCTGGCCTGAAGACCGAACGGACGAACGTGCAGGCTAGGTGTAATGATGAGTGCTGCGCCGACGGCGGCACTCAGTGGGCCAATTCTTTAGGATGTTGTGGGAGGATCTTCAGCTATCCTTCAAGCGAGTAGTGATAGTGCAATTACATTTGAAAATGCCTTGGAGCGTGTTCAATTGCCACATGGGCGCTTCCTTGATTTGGGTATTCGCCGCGATTATTATCCAGCTCGGATTTCCCGTTTTGTCTCTGACGAAGGCCGACGACAGTTTCATGCATTGACGCACCTTATCAAATATGAGAGAGGTGAGAGAATGTCGTCGGCTTCGAGAAGTGAGCCTGCTCGTTCGCTCTGTGCCCCCTTCCTTTCGCGCGCCCTCTGGCCCCCAGGAGGTCCGTTGCAGGGCCTTGCCTCCGCCCCAGCTCTCCCTGCCGAGTGCGCTCATCAACAGCGGGCGCCTGCGCTCGCTGGTCAAGCGCGGGGCCATCGAGGACTGCCGCGCTACTGGGAAGGACTTTTCCGCGGTTCGGGCGGGGGCGGGGCGGGGGGGGGCGGAGGGCGGGGAGAGAGCGGCTGCTGCTGCGACCGACCGGGCCGATGGCAAGGCGACGAGCTCGTCCGAAGCGAGGAGCGCCCGTCCGAGGCCGTCTGTTCGCGGAGCCCAGAATTCGAGACGTCGCGGTTAGATGTTGCCTGCGCCCGCAGGCAACCCAGCGCGGTCGTCCGCGCGATGGGTGCGCCTTCGGGGCCAGCGGGGGTGTCTCCCTCCAGCGGAGCGGCCCTCCCATCGAGGATTTGGATTTGCTGGGCTACGCCCAGCGCAGGGAACTAGTTATTTTTCCCCGCGGGCCATCATTGGCCTCTGCACAGCTGTCCGTCTGACTTGGATCGATCCCCAGCGTCTCTTGGTCTTGGACTCGGTCCTCCTCCCCCTCCTCCGTTCAAAGAGGTGCCCAATGATATCTCACTGCTTTAGAAGCGCCGCCCTCATCCAGAGCGCGGACAAGGGGCGCCCATCGGTCGTTGAAAGTGGGTATCTCTGGAGTCCCAGACTACCTTGTCTACCTTAAGCGCCTTCCTACTTGAATGATCGAGCGGCTTTACTTTTTCCGTCCGGCTTGGGGGGCGGACGGAACCTAATAATTCTTAATGTCTTCCGACTGCATGTTTCTACTTTTTTTTCCCAACCGATGCGTATCGTCATACAGTTCACAGAGGTGCACAACGATATCTCATTGTTTGAGAAGGGCCGCCCCCATCCGTGTCGCTGCTGCCTAAGTTTTTTTTGTTTTCACGTATGGTAATTCACTTCGGGGAATTCTCGAGCGAGGGTCCCGTTTTGAATAAGAAAGCGCCTTCCTTGAGCGCAGTTACTACATAGATTGAGTGAAGTGCTTGCGTAAACGACGCACATCAGTTTCAAACGAACGCCCCGTGCCGGACACGGAGCCACCCTCTGGTCTGGCGATTGTTGTTGCAAGGTGCGAGAGCGAATGTGCGAGGCGTTGAGGAGAGAGTCCCGCTTTCCAACGGAAGGCATGTGGCCGAAACCGGGAGGGAGCTTTGCACAGCGGGGTCGATGCGCGTGTTGTGGCGTGCGCTCGTAGAGCGATCGCAGTACATATGTTAATTCGTTTCCCGCGTTCTCAAAGTTCCCTTTGGTGTCCCGTCTGGTTCTTGCGCTTTCTTGTCCCTAAGCAGACCTTGATGGCCTTACGGCGAAAACCCAATTTTGAAATCCACCGTTGCTCGATCTTCGTAACTGCTGCAGGCTTGTAAAACTAATGTGCGAGGCGCTATGGCGGGAACCCCATTTGAAAACCATACGTCTTTCATCCTTGCAATTGTTGCGAAGCTTGGCCTCATAATCGTACAACGTGAGGAGGTATCAGGCGAAACGCCCGGGCCGCTCTACCGACGAGCCTGCGGATGCGACAGGGATGGGTTATCCAAACGGACAAGGGGATGGATGGAGAGGGAGTGGAGAAGCCCAGGTCCTGGGAGGTGCCCAGACGCCCCCAAACACATGCGAAACCGATTCCTCAAATGGGTTCGATCATCCCGTCGGCCCATATTATATCATCGCCAGCATGTGTGTGCTCGCGGGGTCTGAGAAGGTGGTCGGTGGCGGTCGTCTCCCTGAAATGTCGCGTGACCTCGCCTGGGGGAGCAACGTTAACAGGGCAGTTGCAAGGCCACATTCAATGGAGCACGCACCCCCCGAAGTGCCGTCTGTTCATCCTGCCATCGTGCCTGGGTCGTAGGTTACGGGGGTGCTGGATACCGCTCGGATTCGGGATGTCTCTCGGGGGTCTCTTGGAATCTTTGGCAGGCTGATTGGGGACCTCCCTGGGGTCTTCTTTGAGGTCTGTTGGAGCCTTTCGGAGCCTCTTGGGGACTCCTGGGTCCTGCTGGCGATCGCGGAGGCCATCTTTGGGGCTCGTGAGCCGTCTTTGGGGGGCTTTGGGGCCGACTTGGGGTCCGTGAGCCATCGTGGAGCCCTCCTGGGGCCTCTCGGATCGTCGTGGTCTGATCCCGGGGGCCTCTTGGTGCGTCGTGGACTGTCGGAAGCCCGGAAACGTGACAACACAAAAATGTTGAAGCATTTCCAGCAACATCAATATGTTCTGCGTGGGTGTGTTCGTATGTTTGTGCGTTTGTGCGTTTGTGTGGTTGTGTGTGTGGCGTGTGCTGTTGCATCGTGCGAGTTCCGAGTGTTGTTTTCTCATCTGGGTAATCGGCTTGTGGCCAGGCCCAGCCCGCGACGACCAACAAGTGTGGGTATGTGTGTGTGTGTGTCGATGTGGGTGTGCGTGTGCGTGTGCGCGTGGGCGTGCGTGTGCGTGTGCGTGGGAGTGTGCGTGTGCATATGTGTGTGTGTGTGTGCGTGTGCGTGGGTGCGTCGGTGCGTGGGTGCGTGGGTGCGTGGGTGCGTGGGTGCGTGTGTGTGTATGTGTGTGTGTGTGGTGTGTGCGTGTGCGCGTGCGGTGCGCGTGCGTGCGCGTGCGTGCGTGTGCGTGTGCGTGTGCGTGTGCGTGTGCGTGTGCGTGTGTGTGTGTATGTGTGTGTGTGTGTGTGCGTGTGCGTGTGCGTGTGCGTGTGCGTGTGTGTGCCGTGGGCGTGTGTGTGTGTGTGTGTGTGTGCCGTGCGTGTGCGTGTGCGTGTGCGTGTGCGTATGTGTGTGTGTGTGTGTTTGTGTGTGTGTGGCCTGTGGCTTGTGGCCTGTGGCCTGCCTGTGTCATGCGGCCTGTCGCCTGTGGCCTGTGGCGTGTGGCGTGTGGCGTGCGTGTGTGAGTGCGTGCGTGCGTGCGTGTGCGTGTTTGCGTGTGTGGTTGTGTGTGTGGGTATGTGGGTGTGTGGGTGTGTGGGTGTGTGCGTGTGCGTGTGTGTGTGTGTGTGCGTGTGTGTGTGTTTGTGTGTGTGGGTGTGTGCGTGCGAGCGTGCGAGCGTGCGTGTGTGTGTGTGTGTGAATGTGTGTATGTGTGTGTGTGTGTGGCTGTGTGCGTGTGCGTGTGCGTGTGCGTGTGCGTGTGCGTGTGCGTGTGCGTGTGTGTGTGTGTGTGTGTGTGTGTGTGTGTGTGTGTGTTTGTCTCTGTGTGTGCGTGTGTGTGTGTGTTTGTGTGCGCGTATGTGTGTGTGGTTGTCTCTGTGTGTGTGTGTGTGTGTCCGTGCGTGCGTGCGTGGCGTGCGTGCGTGCGTGCGTGCGTGCGTGCGTGCGTGCGTGCGTGCGTGCGTGCGTGCGTGCGTGCGTTTGTGTGTGAATGTGTGTGTGTGTGTCTGTGTGTGTGTGTGTGTGTGTGTCGGGGTCCTCTTGGGCTGTCTTGAGAGCCTGTTGGCTCCGTCTTGAGATCAGATTGGGATATCTTGCAGCACTCATGAGCCGTCTTGGCGCCCTCGGAGCTCCTTTGGGGCGCTCCTGTGGCCTGTAGTTGGGGTGCGGAAACCCGCGCCACGAGTTGTGGCATCCATGCGGCAGAACCTTGCCCGTGTGTGTGTGTCGTCCAGGAAAAGCAAGACGAGGAGCATGAATATGCGGAGGAAGAGGAGGAGGCGAGGAGGTGTAGAAGGAGGAGGACGAGGAGAAGGAGAGGAAAGGGAAGCCGAGAAGGAGGACAAGGAGGAAAAGGAGGAGGAAGAGGAGGAGGAGGAGGGATGCAGGAGTATCTGAGGAGGAAGACGAGAAAGATGAGGACACGTAGGAGGAGGATAGGAAGAGGAGTAGGAGGAGGAGGAGGAGGAGGAGGAGGAGGACAAGGAGGAGGACAAGGAGGAGGACAAGGAGGAGGACAAGGAGGAGGAGGAGGAGATGTGACGAGAAGGAGGAGGTGGAGACAAGCGCAGGGAGGGAGGAAGGAGTGGGATGAGCACGTAGACATAGGAGGAGGAGGAGGAGTTTCGCATCAGCATCGCTCTGGGGTTCAGTGCGACCAGGGTGCACGACGCGGAGCAGCGGAACTCTGTGCCACAAGCTTGGCGTTTGCGGCGCCTCTCACTGCTGAGATTCTCCTCCTCCTCCTCCTCCTCCTCTACCTCCTCCCCCTCCTCCTCCTCCGCCTCCTCCTCCTCCTCCTCCTCCTCCTCCTCCTCCCCTTCTCATCCTGTCTTGCCGCCCCTGCGCCGAGGGACTGGCGCACGGTGGTTGCCATCGAAGGCAGCGCGGGGTGTTCGAAAGACGCGTACCGGCGCCAGGAGGACACGATTATGGTGAAGTCGGGCCTGTCACTCTACAGGGGGGATCTCCACAAGTAGTTAAAACATAGTCTTGAAAACATGTTTGAGCATTTTTGGTGCGTTGTTGGCCTATGTTTCGTCCGAAACCTGCCTGTAGGGGGACAGGCCCGACCTAAGGATATGGAGGAGGAGGGCAGAGGGGAGAGGGAGGGAGGAGCACGGTCAAGTCGCACAGCAAGGATTAGCAACCTTCCAAGGCTAACCTTGCACCCTTGCCCCTTCGGCCCGTCCTTGGCGACGTTCGCTGGCCAGCCCCGTTCGAAAACGGCAACAGGGCCCTCCAAGGCCTCTGCATCCGTACCGCGCATCCTAATTGTGCGACTTGACTGTATGAATATGGGGAAAAACTGGGAGGAGGGAGGACGGACCGAGAGGCGAAGGTAGATGGCAAAGGCGCTCACAGGATGGAGGGAGGGGTCGGGGGCGGGAGGGGCCCTAGGGGCGCTGCAAGTCACAGGCGCGGCGAGAGCCCCGTCGTTGGCGCTGCCATCGCCGCCCGAGGCAGCGACGGCCTACCCGTCGCACCTTCCGCTCCTTGACCACGCGGTCGGTGACCTCCTCGCGACACCTTTCCATGCGAGTCAGCCAATCCCGGACCTTGGTCTCCGTGGCCGACATCTCCTGTTGCGCGGCACGCAAGCGCCGGTGGATCTCTTGGAGGCCCTCGCGCTCGCTCTCCTCGCGTTCGAGCTCCCAGATGCTGCCGGGGAACTCGGCGTCCCAAGCAATCTGAAAAGCGCAGTCGTCCTCAGCTGCCCGGGGCGGCGCGGCCGCCTCATCAGCGGCTGCCCCAACGCCCTCGGCGCGAGCCACTGCCGCCGCCGCCGCCTTCCTGGCCGAGGCTGCCTGCGCCAGCTGCTTGGGCAACTCCGCCTCCTTGACTTCCGCTGCTGCTGGCGATTGCCGAGGGCGAAGCACACTAGAAACTGTGCGCGGATGCTCGTGGCCCGCGTCGCCTTAAACGCCGTCTGAGCGGCGCAGTTGGTTATGCGGCCGAGGTATCCTGCTGCTTGGCCCCCATTGACCTCCTTCTCCAGCTCGACGACCCGCGGCTGAAGGGTAGACTGGATATCATCATCATTGGTGGCCGCCAGGGCGCGAGACAGAGGCGGGGCGACCTCGGCTGGGGCGCCCTCGTCGCTCGCGCTCTCGCGCCGCGGCGGCTTCTCGCCGCTGCCTCGCCCGCGGCCGCCTCTGCCGGCTCCGGGGCCGTTGGCTGGCGATGCGCCCCTCGGGTCGCGGAGGACTCCCTCCGGGCGTGCGAGAGAGGCCTCCTTTTTTATCATTCGCCGACAAAGCAAACTGCACCTCGGCGCCCTTGGATTTGGGTTTGAACAGCGCCACTTCCTCTCCACAGGCGCCGCAGACGCACGGATTGCGAGCCGCGGCGTCATTGCGCTCGCAGGACTGGCAAGATGAGCAGCGAGTCCACGAGCGAGAGCCTGGCGTCATGGCGACAAGATCGTTCTCTCCTGCCCCGGCCGGCGCCCCGCAATTTCTCGGCGGGGCGCGCGGGCGATGTCCTGCGAGCGCTCCGAGAGATTGCGGGGGAATGAGCCCCGCTCGGGCCCACGCGGCGCGAGAGCAGGTGGATGGGGGGCGGGGGAAGGGCGGAGGAGGACACGCCGTGCGAAGATAACAAGGCATCCCCGTTATTATGCGGCCCCACTGCGTCCGCGGCGCTCCAGGTCATTGATCCATTTGATTATCCATGGCCCTCTAGATCAGCATGAGCATCGTTGCACTTCCCCCACGCAGAGAACTTCTCACAAGGCCAGCGGGCTTCCGAGAGAGGCCCCGCCGCCGTCGAAAAGAAAAGGCCCGCGCCTCCTCGCCCCCCCGCTCGGCGCGCCGCCGAACGACCGTGCGCCGCGGGGCACTGCGGACAGGGGGCTGCAGAACAAGCGCACGGTGGCTCGCTGAACTCCTCGCGGGGCACGGTCTGCACGAGCCGCGCGTCGAACTGAGCAGAAGCCCCCCGCGCGAGCGCTCGCTGAAGCCGGGGGCGGGGCCTCCCGCGGGGGGCGCGGTCCGCGCGGCCCGCGTGCCGAGACGGGCTGAGGACTGCAGCGCAGTCGCCCCCATCGGTGGAGCTCCTGACGGGGCAGCGATCCTCTGGAGCTCTATTTTCGGCTCCAGCCTCAAGCTCGCCCTCTGCTGCAAGGACGCGCACTTCGGCGCGCGCGCGTGGACTTTCGTGGCCTGCGCGTGGCGCCCTCGCCTCCCAGCCTCTCTGGCCGCCTCGCGCCTCGGCGCGTTTCTTTGTTTTTGTTCGCCGTGCCGCGACGTGCTGCGGCGCGCCCAACCGCTGCTCGACCGCCGTCTGACCTTTTTGCGGCCGTTGTCTAAAAAGTGTTCAGACAGGTTGAGGCGGTCGCGCCCACGGTGGGGCTCCTGACGGGGCCACGATCCGCAAGGGGAGTGTGCCGGCGCGGGGGTCCCATGAGGACGTGGCCGCTGAAACCATCGGTGGGGTCCTTTTTTGGGCATTGTCGTGCGAGGGGTGTGCCAGCATGGGCGGCGGGCGCCATGCGACCGTTGCAAGTAAAACCGTAGGCCGGGGTGCTTGTGGGGCAACGAAACGCGCGAGGGGGGGCGTGCCGAGATTGGCGCCTGGGAACCATGCGGTCGTCGCCGCTGCGACCATGGAGCCCCATCGGGTCACGAAGCGTGTGAGGGATGTGGAGGTACTGTCCCGGAGACCGTGCGGTCGTGGTCGTTGATCCCAGTGGTACAATTCCCGATGGGACGCGGGACGTGTGAGGGATGGGCCGAAAGTGTCGCGGGGACACCATGCGGTCCTGGGCACAAGGGAGGGCCGTCGGTGGGGCATGGGTGTGCCGAAATGGACGTGGGGACGACATGCGGTCGTGGTCGCTGTCACCATAGGTGAGCCTTCCATGGGGCCAAAAATCGTTTGAGGGGCGTGCGGCAATGAGCGCGAGGGCGCCACGCGGTCGTTTCCATTGAAGCCGCAAGTTGGGCTCCGCGTGGGGCCTCGAAACGCGTGAGGAGTGCGCCGAGACGGGCGCGGGGACGACATGCGGACTTAAGTGGAATCCTCTTCTGTGACGCAGCGAAGCTGGTGAAAAGTGAGCCGAAGGTGGCGCGGGGACGTCGTGCCGTCGTGGCCAGCCACCTGGTTCCGTACGTGGATTTCCTTGTGGGAGCACGATCCGTGAGAAGGGGTGGGCCGGATCGGGCGAGTGGATGCCACGCGGTCGGTTGCCGTTGGTGAAATTTTTGCGGGGCCACAACATGCGAGTGGTAATCCGAGATGGGCGCGGGGACGTAATGGAGTCATGGTCATTGAGACTTTGGGATGTTGGGCCGCGAGACGTGCGAGGGGTGTGCCGAAATTGGCGCGGGGACGCCATGTTGTCGTGATCATTGAGACCTTAAGTGGGTCTCCCTATGGGAGCATGATCCGCGTGAGGGTTCTGTCGAAATGGGCGCTGTGACGCCGTGCGGCCGTAACCACTGACACTGCAAGTGGAGCGCCCTAAGGGGTCACATAACGTGTGAAACGTGCGCCGAATTGAACAGGACCTGCGCTGAGCAGGAGGGGGAGGCGGGCTTAGAAAAAAATCGATACGGGCCGCTGTGGATTCTGAACGAGGACCCATCACACGGGATGGATTGGTGGGGAAACAAACGTTGGAGTTTTGGGTCTCTGTTCCTTCGCTTCGGCTCAGTTTCCATCCATGCTTGGGCAATCGCAAGTGTATATCACCACGAACCCCTCGGGGGGTGCCCACGAGTCCCCGGTCTGCTGCGACGCTTATGCGAACGCTACTACACCTTATATGACAAAATGTTGGGGAGGCTTGTCCAAGGGGGGGGGGTGTCTGGTGGGTGGGTGTCCGGATCCTTGTGGGGGTGTCCAAGGGGTTGTTTGGGCCGCCTTGTCTTGCCGGCGCGTGCGCATATCATGATCACACATACCATCAAAGGCTTGGCATAACCAGGGAAGCCCAGCTGGAAATCGCCATATCTAGTGTTGAACCTACAGCCGGAGCGAACGGTTCGCCAGTTGCGGTGGCCAAATCTCGAGGGAACGCGGATGTATATGCACACGCACACACACACACGAGAGCGGCGCACAAAACGGTGTCGTTTGCGCCGACGCTGGCGCGTAAGCTCCCCGCGTAAGGGCGCGTTCAGGCGCCCTCGTCTCCAAAGTAGCGTGCCGCGCTGGCGGCCCGCGTAAGCCGCCGCGTAAGGTCGCTGCGTCATCTCGCGTGAGACCCATGTTTGTTTCGTCGCTCACGTGATTTCCTGATGTGAGCGCGAGAGCGAGAACGAGCCCCAAGCTCGGACACGGGTCACGAGGTTCAAGTTGCAGCCGGGGCCTGCGGGCGAGGGGCAGGTGAAGGCAGTAGGGCCAGCTGCGGAAGCACGAGTCGGATCATGCCTGGCACGAAAAGTAAGAGGAGGAGGAGGAGGAGGAGGAGGGGGAGGAGGAGGGTGAGTGGCAGCAGGAGGAGGAGGAGGACCACGGGGGAGGTGGGAGGAAGTCGGAGGAGGAAGAGGTATTGATGCCCGCTACTCTTCCCTCGTCTTCCCCTTCCTTCTCGGCCTCCTGGGATACCCCCGTCGCCACCGCTGGATACGCCTCGGAATTCTGGGAAGAAGGTGCCCCGGGAGAAGTCTGGGGAGTAGCGGTATCGGTACCTGCTGGTTTCTCCGGGAGGGACAGAGGATGGTGAGGGAGGAGGGTTGAAGGGGGCGGGAGAAGGATAGGAAGGAGCGAAGGGGGAATGGAGGAGCAGCGCGGAACAGGAGGGGGCGAGGAATGAGAGGACCAGGAGCAGGACTCGCAGCAGCAGTGGCAGCAGGCGGATGAGGAGGGAAGATGGCGCGGAGGAAGGGGGATGGCCTGCTTAGGTTGCGGAGGAGCAGGAAAAGGAGCAAGGGGGGCGGCAGGAAGAGTAATTAAAGGGTGGGGGGGGAGGCGAGAGCTAATGATGGTAAAGATGAGGATGATAAAGATGAGGATGATCCTGAGGATGAGGGCGAGAACGAGGATGAGAAACATGGTGATGAAAACGTGAGGGAGAGGATGCAGCGCATGACGGTGACTATAGCGACGATGCTCGCACGTACGATGACAACTTTCGTGACAAGCATACAGCCAATCACGAGGATTATGTGGATGAGGATAGTGACAAGGACAGTGACGAAGAAAAATGAATGATTGTTATTGGTGACAAGAGAGGTGATGCTATCGAGGGCGCTACTAGTGCTGATGTCGGCAATTATGGCGATGATTGGTAGTACGATGATAACGATGGTCGTGATGGTGTTTGTGGTGTTGGTGGTGGCAGTGATGATGGCGATGATGTTGGCGGTGACGATCTGTGGATTGGCGATGCCGAGTCTGACGACTGTGATGGTGGTGATGTAGATGACGACGACGACGACTGTGGTGACGGCGAAGTTCTTGATGCCGCTCAGGCAACCAGCGGCTGGATATGCCATTCGCCATGTCCGGGCAGCGGGTCTACAACGGCTCTCTGCGCGCTCTGGCGGACGTGGTCAACGCGAAGCTTGAGAAGAACTGGGTGCGCGGCCGGTGTCCGTGGTGGGGAGGAGGAGGAGGAGGAGGAGGAGGAGGAGGAGGAGGAGGAGGAGGAGGAGGAGGAGGAGGGAGGGGCAGGGCGAGGCAGAGAGGAGAAGGATGGAGGGGTGAGGAGGATCCTCTCGTCACTGGGGGCGGTTCGGCCACCCTATGGCTTGGAGTCCTGCTGTAGGGACTGGCCTTGCTGCTTCTGGCGCATCAAGGACAGCTGCTGCGAACCTCCACCGCTCCTTGCATGTTGGAAACGCCCATGCGGCCAAACGCTTGGCCGACGTCTTGCAACACTATGTGCCATGCGTTTCCTGCGCTCGTGTGGAAACCCTTGACAGCGGGGGGGGGGGAAGGGAGAGGAGGATATTGATGATGATGATGATGATGATGATGATCATCATCATGATGATGGTGATGATGTTGATGATGATGATGATGATGATGGTGACGATGATGATGATGATGATGATGATGATGATGATGATGATGATGATGATGATGATGATGATCATGATGATGATCATGCTGTTGATGCTTATGATGGTGATGGTGAGAATGATGCTGATGATGGATGATGATGATGGTGATGATGCTGATGCTGATGCCGATGCTGATGCTGATGCTGATCTTGATGTTGATGCTGATGCTGATGATGATGATGCTGATGCTGATGATGAGGATGAGGATCGAGGATGGGGATGGGGATGATGATGATGAGGAGGAGGAGGAGGACCAGTGTAAACTCAAGATTCATCGACGATGTTTGGATAATCCCTCCAAGCTCCCTCTCCATAGGCTCATTCGTACAAGGGTTCATTTCCACTGAGGGAAGTGCCCAGTTAAAGATCCTGAATCCTGCCAAACATTATTCTCTGGACTCCAAAACCACGAATCAACCTGATTGTCAGGACAGTTCCTGGGACTTCAACACCGCGAATCATCGTAACGGTTGGTTGCTTCCTTACAATCCTGAATCGTCGAATATTTCGAAGTCCGGTAAGGTAACCACGGGAGTCCGTGAAATTTTCGCACAGTGTTGGAACGAATGTGCGCGGCGCTAGGGCGAGAGCCACACGTTGAAAAGGAACCGCCCTCAATCCGTGAAATTCTTGCAAATGGTCGAAACGAGTATGGTCGGCGCCAAGGCGAGAGCCACATTTTGAAAACCGCCCACCCTCACTCCGTGAAGTTGTTTGCAAAGTTGAAGCCGAATGTGCGCGGCGCTGAGGCGAGAGCCACATGTTGAAGACCACCCGCCCTCCACCTGTGAAACTGTTGCAGACGATTCAGCTTCAGGATCATGAATGATCAGGAAGTCTCAGGCGAAACGCCCGGCGCGCCCTTCTGACTGGCCTCGGGGAGCGACAGGAAGGAGTTATAAGGAAAATGAATGGAGGAGGAGGAGGAGGAGGAGGAGGAGGAGGAAGAGGAGGCCTCTTGGGGGTCTCTTGGGGCCTGGGCTTCCTGAAGTTCCTTGGGGACCGCTGAGGGCCTCTTGGGGGCCTGCTGGGGCCCCTTGGGGGCTCATGGCGGGCCCCGCAAGAGGCCGCTTAGTCTTCGGAGGCCGTCTTGAGGGCCTCATGGCCGTCACGTGTCTTGGGGCCCTCTTGGGACGCTGCTGGGTTGTCTTGGGAGGTCTCTGGGGCCGTCTTGGGGGCCACGTGGGCCGTCTCTGGGGCCTCCTCCCTTCCTCCTGTGTCCCCGCGAGCGACCGGAGCCGCGAGGCGTGGATGGACCAGTTCCTCGAGACGCTCCGCCGCGAGCTGTGAGACCCGCCGCCCCCCCCCCCCTGGGCGCCGCGGACCGGGCGGCGCGGCCGCTGGTCGGTGGGCCCTCTCCCCACTCGGGGGTTCGCAGAGGGGGGGTTTACCCCAAGGCCAAAGGTGTTGCTGGGGAACGAGCCCAGCTGGGCACGCCTCCTTCTTCCAAGGGACCGTTCGAAGCGACATCCTCCCAACCCCACCTCTGCCCCTACCAATAGCTTGGAACCTATCCGTATCCCTTATGTGTGGCATCGCCCTAACTTGATGCCGACCGGAAGGGTTCCCTTAGTTTCTGAGAGCACATTCTTAAGACTGGTATCGCCTAGGGATTGCCGATCTTAGGAATAGGGATAAGTTCGAGGCTGGTTGTACCCCACCTTTACCCCTCCCCGACCCGCGCGCCCTCGCCAGGGGGAACGTTTCCGCGCCGGCAGGGTCCCAAAACAGGGCGGATGTGCTCCAGCTGCCACAGCCTCCCGAGCCGCCCTGCTCCGCTCATGTTGCGCCGCTGCTTGGCGGCCAGCCCCCCCCCTCCAGGGAGCTGGCCGCCTAACTGCCCGCCCGCAGGGCAGGAAGGCGGCCGACAGTTCGGGGTTGCCAAATGTGCCCCTGGCCCACGGTGCCCCCCAGCGCTGCGCTCCACTCTGGAGCCTCTGGGGCCCTCTGGGCCTCGTGCGGGGTTCTCTCGGGGCCGTGGGTGCATCCTTGGAACTCCTGGAGACACCCTGGGCCAGGGGCACTGCCAGCAACAACCGAGACAGGGGAAGCGGAAGGGGGGGATGGGCCCAGGGGAGGACACATTTCGGGCCTCGGCGGTTTTCCGGCCTCGGGGTGCTTTCCAGAAGCTGCGCCGCGGCGGTCCTCCAGCCTCGGGGTGCCCGAATCGTGCCGAGCGGCCGCTGGAGGCCCGAGCTGTGGCCCGAAAGCCACCAGGGACGGGGTTGGGCTCGGGGGGGAAGGCATCGATCCCCAATCGCCCACTCATCGCCGATAGGGACATGGTAGCCCACCCCGCCCCTACAGTGGAGACCCCTGCCAAGAAACACCCTGGGTGCCTCCAGGGTGCCCTGGGTTTCTTGGGTTTCGATGGTTTTGCGATGACAAGCGTGACGTCCCCGCACCGAAAATCAATGGACGTCCTGGGGTCTCAGGGTTGGGTTTCTTGCAGCAGGTTTCTTGTGGATCTGCCCCAACTGCAGTGTCGATCCATCGGCGATGCATCGCCGATTCCAGCTCGGTGTTTCCCGCCCTGAGCCAGTGTCCCCAATCGTTGCCCCTCGCCTCAGAGTGGCGGGGGCGGGGGCGGAGGGGGGGAATATGATGAGGGGGAGACTGTTGGGGACGGGCCTGCAGCTATGCGTACCATGATCAACCGAAAGCAGACGCTTCTGAATTGGACTCCTCCCCAAGAGGGGCCGAAGCACGCGTCGTGGCCTCGCCTGAGGCTCTGGTCCACGCAAGGCCAGCCTCAACGAGGCCGAACTGGTCCAACACCTGCTCAAGAGAGGCGAAGTCCTGCGGAGCAGAAAAAAACCTCGGAGCCGTGGTCCCAAGGCCCCTTCCCTTCAGCGTCTCGACCCCTCCTCCTCGTCCCCCTCCTCCTCCTCCTTCTCCTCCTCCTCCTCCTCCTCCTCCTCCTCCCCATCTGATCGCACGGCTTGCCGTCGTCGCACAAAGCTTGTGTCTCCAGCTCCTTGCGAGCTCGGCCGCGGCATCCGACTCGCCCGACGGGAGCACCGACCCTCCTCAGTCTTGGACTCGAGCTCCCGAAATCGGCATATTTCTGGGTCGGCCGCCCAGCGGCCAGACTCGTGGACGGAACTCTGGAGGCCTCGGAACAGGCTGGCGTCGTCTTCGCCAGCGCCGTGTTGTGTATTCCAGCCTTGGCACATGGATCAGCTTCCTCATTGACCATGCCGCGTCGATCATGCCGCGTCGATGCCCGTCGTTCATGCCGCGTTGACCATGCCGCGTCGATGCGTTGACCATGCCGCGTCGATCATGCCGCGTTGGCCATGCCACGTCGATCATGCCGCGTCGATCATGCCGCGTTGGCCATGCCGCGTCGATCATGCCGCGTCGATCATGCCGCGTCGATTATGCCGCGTCGATGCCGCTTCCGTTGCGTCGATCATGCCGCGTCGATGCCAGTCGTTGCCGCAGGAGCCACAAGTCTTACGCGCCTCGAGATTCTGAGGCTGGTGCGATCCCAGAGATGTCCCCTCGGAGCCCCCCGGGCCTGCACCGAGCCCGGGCCCTGTAGCCAGGGCGTCTAAGGTGGACTGACAGGCTACCCATCGGTCGTTGAAAGTAAGTAGTCTGGGATTCCCAGTACACAATCTACTTTAGCCGCCTTCCTACTTCAAGAGTCGAGTGGTTTTCCCTCTACCTTCCTCTACAGGAGGCGGGCGGAAACCCAATCTGCTTCCAACGCCTTCCTACTTCATGTATGCACATCTGGAACGGTGGAGAGTCTCTTGGACGGGCCGCTCCAAGAGGCACGAGTCCGCCCGGTGCTCACAGAACGTTCCCGAGAGCGTCCGCCGAGACGATTGCTCATCCCGCGCGGCCTCTTGTACCAGAGCACTGGCTCAGAATCCTCGACTTTGTGAAACAGGCCCCTGGGATTCGGAAACACACGCGGCTTGGAAGCTTCGCACGCCTTTCCGAGCTCGCTGACCCTCTGAGTCACTGTTTCAAGCCTACGAGCAGGACATTGGTACCGGCGATGCCGGAGGGTCCGAGGCGCCCCTCGGCAGGCGGAGGGCGAGGAGTCGGGAGGCGGGATGGGGGACGGGGGAAGAGGAGCAGGAGACGGAGGAGGAGGAGAGGGAGGGGGGAGGAGGAGGAGGAGAGACAGGATGAGGAATATTACAAGGACGACGATGACGCTGCTGCCGACAGTGACGATGGCGGTGGCGATGGCGATAGCGATGGCGATGGCGATGCTGACGATGACGATGACGATGACGGTGACGTTGACGATGACGATGACGATGACGACGATGATGGTGATGGTGGTGTTGGTAATGATGAGGATGATGATGATGCTGATGATGATGCTGATGATGCTAATGATGATGCTGAGGATGATGATGGTGACCATGATGATGATGATGATGATGATGATGATGATGATGATGATGATGCTGATGATGATGATGATTATGATGATGATGATGGTGGTTGTGGTGGTGCTGATGATGATGTTGGTGGTCATAATGATGATGGTGGTGGTGATGGCGATGTTGATGCTGATGATGCTGATGATGCTGATGTTGTTGATGATGATGACGAGGATGATGATGGTGATGGTGACGATGCTGATGGTGATGCTGATGATGCCGATGATGATAATGCTGGTGATGGTGGTGGATGATGCTGACGAAGGTGGCGGTGATGTATTATGCTTATGCAGATTGCGATGCTGCTGATTCTGATGGTTATGATGATGATAATGATAATGATGTTGATGATGATGCGAATGATGATGATGACGATGCTGCTTGTGTCGATGATACTGATTATGATGCTGATGACGTCGACGATAGTGGCGATGATGCTGATGCTGATGGTGATGGTGATCGTGGTGGTGATGATGATGATTATGATGATGATACTATTGGTGCTGATGATGTTGATGATGAGGATGAGGACGAGGATGCTGATGATGATGCTGATGCTGACGATGATGATGGTTATGCTGTTGTTGATGATGGTGATGATGATGATGATGGGATTGAGGATGAGGATGAAGACGATGATTAGGATGATGATGATGAGGATGGTGAGCATGATGATGAGGATGAGGATGATGATGATAATAAGGATGATGCTGAGGATGATGTTGATTGTGGTGATGAAGATTTGTGCACGATGATGATGGGGATGAGGAGGATGCGAAGGAGAAGGAGGAGGAAGAGGAGCATGAGGAACAGGGCGATCAGATAAGAAGAGAGATAAGCAGATGAAGAGGAGGAGGAGGACGAGGATGCTGATAGCGATGCTGACGATGCTGATGGTGATGCTGATGATGCTGCTGATGATGATGCTGGTGGTTGTGGATGACGCTGGTGATGGTGGTGGTGATGTATGATGATGAGGAGGTGGAGACTGTTGATGATGATGATGATGATGATGATGATGATGATGGTGGTGATGACGATGCTGATAATAATGATAATGAGGATGCTGAGGATGATGCTCATGATGATGATGATGATGCTGATGATAATGATGATGCTGATGACGACGACGATGGTGGCGATGATGCTGATGCTGATGTTGATGATGATGGTGGTGGTAATGATGATACTATTGGTGCTGATGATGTTGATGATGAGGATGATGAGGGTGATGCTGATGCTGCTGATGATGCTGTTGTTGTTGTTGATGATGAAATGATGATGATGGTGATGGTGGTGATGATGATGATGATGATGATGATTATGATTATGATGATGATGCTGATGCTGCTGCTGATGAGGATGATGATGACGATGATGACGATGATGATAGGGTTGAGGATCAGGATGAGGACGATGCTTAGGATGATGATGAGGATGGTGAGGATGATAGTGCTGATGTTAATAATGACGAGGATGATGTTGATGGTGGTGGCGATGATGATAATGATGATGATAATGATGATGATGATGATGATGATGATGATGATGATGATGATGATGGTGATGATGATGGTGCACGATGATTATGAGCGTGATGAGGAGGATGCGGAGGAGAAGGAGGAGGAAGAGGAGCATGAGGAGCTGGGGGATCAGATGAGGAGAGAGATAAGCAGATGAGGAGGATGAGGAGGAGGAGGAGCAGCAGCAGAAGCAGCAGCAGCAGCAGGAGCAGAGGGAGGAGGCGGAGGTGAAGGAGGAGGAGGAGGAGGAGGAGGAGGAGCAGGAAGGGCAAGGGGAAGGGGAGAAGAAGGAGGAGGAGGACGACGACGAAGGGCGAAAAGTGTGGAGGAGAAGGACGAGAAATATGTTCCCCTCCTCCCCCTCATTGCCCACTCTCATCCCCCTCTCCTCCCCTTTTCCCCTCCCTGTGTTCTGCCAGCAATGGCACCGGTCGGAAAGATGACCCCGGTGTGATGCGCTCTCCACGCAGTGGCATCACCGTGCAAGAGCGGGAAGACCGTGGGGCGGTGAGGCAGGGACGGGGGCAGGGTGGCAGGGCTGCCGGCGGGCCCCCCTGTCCCTCTCTCCCTCCCTCGCTGCCCGTTTCCTCCCTCTCTCCCTCCTCCCCGCTTTCCACCTCCCTCTTCCCTCCCACCCTCCTCCCCTCCTCCCCCCCTCCTCCCCTCCTCCCCCCCTCCCGCCAAGGCCCCAGGGGCTCCCCAAAGGGACTGGCACCCGCGAGCGGGACCCCTGGGGCGGCGGGAATGGTCGATCCGATCGCACCCTCGCGCCAGTGACACCGCCGCCTTCGGCGAGGGGCCCCACAAGAATAATCAATTACGTAATTACATACCAGGAGGAACTGGGTCTTCGAATGAAAAAGGGCTACTTACACCAGTACCGGCGAGCAAAAAATCAACACATCATTAGAGATGAGAGGAAGAGGCGGGACGAAAAGGAAAAGAAAGACCACATGCAATAGCGACCTGCCAAAGAGGGCAGGGAAAGGGGAAGGAAGGGAAGGAGGAGGCGGGGGCGGGGGCCAGGGCGTCGTCATGGGCGAGCGTCGGGGTCGGCGTCAACGTCGCGGGACTGGACGCGAGGGTGGCTGTAGTGGACTCCGGCGGCGTCGTTCATGTAATTGGGCGTCGAGCTGCAGGGCGTCGGTGTGGTGAGCAGCGGGCTGACGGCCGCTGGTGCGTACGTGCTGCCCGTGGTAGACGAGGGAGACGTGGTCACCGCCGTGCTGGTTGTCCTGCACGCGGTGGTGTCGGCTGTAGCGGCAGCGGCTCTGCCCACGATCATTGCCCCAAGGCGTTGAGGGAGGGGCATCTTGGTAGTATTTGTCGGTAGGCGCCTGTTGATTTGCCTCCACAGTTTCCCGAGAACCTCCGCCTGGTCAGCGTCGCCGAGCCCATGGCCGTATGACCGGATGAACTCGACGGCCGTGTCAGACGGGCGGCCACCCGACTCGAACACCAATGGTGCCAAGTTGCCGTGTTGCGGCGGGTAGCGGACACGTTTGTCCAGGATTAAGTCGGGCGCGTCCCTCTACAGGAAGAACATTCTAAAATAGACAAAAAATAGGCTGGTGGCGAATCTCCTAGGAATCTTCCATTTTTATATAAGAAACACAAAGTATGGAAATTGCCTCCTTGACAGAAGTTTCGCTAGCAGACGGCGCGCGCGTCTGGAAAACATGTTGCGCCGCGTGGCGTCGTTATGACCTGTTGCGCCGCTCGTGGTGGCGACAGCGCGGGCTACCGCGTTTTTGCGCGCGTGTGCTTTTGCAGCGAAATGGTTTGTGCATAGTGCACACTGAGGATCGATTGCGATTTGCCATCGCGCGCTGGATGGCCCGGCGGCGCCATAGAAACCGATGCGACGCATCATCGTTTCG